CCAGTAGATTGATCAGCAGAAAAATTGTATAAGAAGTAGAAAGTAAGGAGAAATAGAACAATGGTCTGTGCATTAACACTTATCTAGAATAACTCCCTAACCTGCGGAAAAGTGTATCTAGCAAGATATTAGGAAGTTTCAAGCTTAATACTGGAGCTCTGTGCATTGTTTTTTAAGGCTTTAAAGCAGGTATTGTACTTGAAATAAGCAAGCGTTGTTTTAACCATCAATGTGCTTATAGTGCTTGGATGGAACTACAGTCAATATGCTTTTGCTTTGCGTGATTGGCCAAAAACCTTTTAAAGTAAGTTTTAACATGAAGTCCTTTGTCTGCTACCTGTAAAGTGAGCTACTGGCATCTTCCCATTGTCATAACCAAGTAATGAGACAGATGGTTGGAAAATCACACAGCTCGGGATGCATTCCCAGCAGTCCAGTCCTGTTTGTGATTTGTGCACAGCCCTGAAGTGACGATGAGTGCCCCTTTCCCCTCTGTGCTGCTCCATCTCCCAGCCCAGCACGGCCCCGGCTGCAGCTCAGCCCTGGGGGGATCTCCTTGCCCTTGCCTGTGGCACGGAGGCAAATCCCATCCTGTCCTTGTCCTTCCTCCCCCAGAGCAGGAGCTGAGCATGGAGAGCAGGGAGGACAAATGCCCGCGGCAGAACCTGGTGGAAGAGGCCGTTTTGAGCGGCTCCACGGCGCAGGAAGCCAACGGGGAGGAAAAGCCCCGGAGATGCCGCACGAGGAGGGGCTGCAAACGCAGCCGGCGGGGATCTGAGGCGGAAAGAGCCAGCCTGGGCCGGGAAGGCGGCCGGAGACGGAGCCAGAGCTCGGAGCTGGTGCTCCATGAGCAGCTCCATGATGGGGAGAAGCCGCACACGTGCGTGGAGTGTGGGAAGAGCTTCAGGTGGAACACCGACTGAAGGAGGCACCAGAGGATCCACACTGGGGAACGGCCCTACGAGTGTGGGGAGTGTGGGAAGAGCTTCAACCTGAGCTCCCACCTTACCAGCCACCAGAGGATCCACACTGGAGAAAGGCCGTACAAGTGTTCCGAGTGTGGGATGTGCTTCAGAGAGAGCTCCATCCTGATCACACACCACAGGACCCACACTGGGGAGAGGCCCCATGAGTGTTCCAAGTGTGGGAAGGGGTTTCTGACCAGCTCTGATCTCCTCCGGCACTATCTGAGTCACAGGGAGGAGAGGCCCTTCCAATGCTGCGACTGCGGGAAGGGATTCAAGCGCAACTCCACCCTCGTCACCCACCGGCGCATCCACACAGGGGAGAGGCCCTACGAGTGTGATAAATGCAGGAAGAGGTTTCAGACCAGCTCCGATCTCCTCCAGCACTATTGGATTCACAGAGAGGAGAGGCCCTTCCAATGCCCCGACTGCGGGAAGGGATTCAAGCGCAACTCCACCCTCGTCACCCACCGGCGCATCCACACAGGGGAGAGGCCCTACGAGTGTCCCCAGTGTGGGAAGAGCTTCTCCAGCAGCTCTCACTTGACCCAACACCAACGGAGGCACCAGTAAGGGAAGCCCTGCGAGTGCCCCGAGTGCGGGCAGAGCTTCGTGCGCTGCTCCAGCTCCATCCCCCACTGGAGGAGGCACTTTGGGCACAGCCCTGGTCACTCCCATTCCCTGTGATCCATGTTGGGAACACACCTGGCTGCTTCGCCTTTTGGTTTGGCCTCTGCTTCACCTTCATCCTTTAAGAACACCCAAAACTGGGTTAAATGAAGGAAATTCATTGAATATATCTGATGTTGCATAATTTCTCAGTTGTTTTAGAGGGAATTTAGGATTTGGGGACACGTTTTGTGTGGAGTGCTGCTGTTGCTAAGAGGCAGGAATTTGATCTCACCCTTCTTGTGTTGCTAAGAACTCCTCCCCGACCCCAACCCCAACTCCACCCTTGGGATACCCTATAAAAACTCCATGGCCCTTCCTGTGCCCTGTCTTTGGGGGTTAAGAAATGGATTCCCAAAGAATCAGCCCTATTCCTACTGGATTCCAAAGGATCAGCCTCATTCTCCACTGGATTCCTAGAGGACAAAGCTTTTCCCAGTGGATTCCCAGAGGATCAGCCCTTTCCCCACTGGATTCTTAGAGGATTAGCCTTTTTCTGACCAGATTCCAAAAATTTCAGCTTTTCCCACTGGATTCCCTGAGGATAAATATTTGCCCACTGGATTCCCGGAGGATCAGCCTTTTTCACTGGATTCCCAGAGGATTCTGACTCTGTCACTTTTTTTGTTTGTACTACTGCATTTGTATTTTTAATTTTTCCTAATAAAGAACTGTTATTTCTACTCCCATATCTTTGCCTGAGAACCCCTTAATTTCAAAATAATTAATGTAATCATCATCATCATTATCATCAAAGGGAGGGGGTTTACATTTTGTATTTCAGTGGAGACTCCTGAAATAGGGAGACATCCCCAAGGCTGGGCCATGTAAAATAGTTCCTGAAATATGTAGATTAGTTTATGGATATGCATGAGGGTCTATGAATATGCAACAGGCTGATGTAGTTAAACCAGATTAATTAAGGGGTGTCCCTGAAAATAACTGGGGGGTCTTGGTGGCCATAACAACCTTTGCTTTATGGTCCTTTTCTCCCGTTACATCAGCCTGTTACATATTAATAGGCTTTTCGCGTATCCATGAACTACTTTACATATTCCAGGAACAAAATTGGCTTCATCCTGTTTGGGGGACCCATCCCCCTCCCAGCTCAATTTTGGGGTCCCACCCCCCTCTTTTCCCTGCTCTCCCTCCCCTTTCCGATCGTTCCCGCAATCCCCTCCCCCGTGTTTGATTTTGGGGGCTCCAGGCCCTTCCTGCTCCGTTTTAGGGTCCCGACCCCATTTTGGATTAATTTGGCGTCCCCAGCCCATCCCCAGGATCACCTTCCCCCCGCCACCAAATTCCGCTCCTGGCAACTGATGAGTCATCAGCGAGACACGCTCTGATTGGCTGGAAATTACACCCTTCCCCTCCCCCCCCCCCCCACGCGATTTCTGAGTATTTACCGCAGTGAGAGGCCTTGGTCTGTGCCGGGCAACTTATGAGTCAGAGTCGGGCCGGGCGCTGATTGGCTGAAAATCGCTGAGCGGGGCCAGTGCTCTGAGTTTGTGCCCAGCAAGTGGAACGTCATCAGTGTCGCGCGTTCTGATTGTTCGGGATCTGTTTATGGGTGGGGACCGGGCGAACTGGGGTTTCTTGGGGTTTCTTTGGGTTAATTTAGGGTTTGTTTGGGGTTTATTTGGGGCTATTTATGGACTAATTGGGGTTTCTCTTGGGTTTTACTTGATTTATTTCTGTTTATTTGATGTTATTTGGAATTATTTGAGTTTATTCGGAAGTATTTTGGTTTGTTTGGGTTTATTTGGGCTTATTTGGAATTATTTGGGGTTCTTGGAAGTTATGTTGGTGTACATGGGGTTTTTTTAGGTGTACTGGAAATCATTTGGGGGTCTTTGAGTTTAATTTGGATTTTTTTTTGTTTTTTTGGGGGGTTATTTGGAATTTTTTGGGGTTATTTGGGGCAGTTTCAGGTATTTGGGGTTTTTTGGGTGTTCTTTGGGGTTTATTTCGAGTGTTTTGGGGTTATTTAGGTTATTTGGGGTCATATGGGGTCAAAAAACCCGGGAATGTTTCTCCTGTAAAAAAATGGGAATTTTTCGTGAAAAATCTGAGAGTTTTTCCCCAAAAAACCGGGAAAGTCCTTTAAAAAAATCCCAGACTTTTCCCAGCCAATAGCAGCGCGCCCCACCCCAAACCATCCAATCAGCACTCTTCATCTCCCAAACTAACGAATCATGGCGCACCCCACCCCAAACCAACCAATCACCGCGGGTATTCCCTCAGGAACACCGGTCTTACCGTGCGCGGATCCGACCAATGCCTCCCCACCGCCCGCCTCTCGCGCGCCGAATCAGCCAATCACCGCAGGTCTCCCCTCAGCTACTCCCGCCTCTCTCGAGCTGAACCAACCAATCACCGCGCGCCTCCCCTCGGCAAAGCCCGCCTCCCTCACCCCTCTCCTGTCAATCACCGCGTTTTCTATCAAACCAACCACTCACCGGACGTCTCCCCTCAGCAACTCCCGCCCTCCCCGCGCCTCCTCAACCAATCGGTGCCGAGCCCAAAGCAGCGCCCGACCACGGGCCCGGCATGGAGCGGGCGCCCCCTATTCCCCCCCACCCCGGGACCCCCTTAAGGACCCCCGGGAGCCGCCCCGGGCTCGGGCGGGTCCTGCGGGAGGCGCTGGAGAGAGCGGGGGAGGCGCTGGGAGAGGACGGGGGGCTCCGGGAGCTGCTGAGGAGGCGCAGGGACAGGTGAGGGGTCCTGGAGGGGTCGTGAGGGGAATTTGGGGAGGGGTCTTGAGGATGTTTGGGGGGGGGATTTGGGGAGGGTCTGGGGGAACTTGAGGGGGTTTTAGCAGGGTCTGGGGGTGCTGGGGGGGGGATTTGGGGAGGGGTCCTCGGGGGGTGTCACGATCCGTCCTCACGGACGGGTTTCGTGATGGTTCATGGATTTGATCTCAGGGTGCAAAAAGAACCGACACGGTACAGTGGGGTTTTGCAATGATAATGGAAACAAATGCACCTTTATTGAATGACCACAGCAAAATGCGATAGAGGGATTAAGGGAGAGAAAAGATAAAGGAAGAGAGAGGGAATAGGGCTGCCAAACGTAGAGACAAAGTGCTTTGGTCCAGTCCAGTCGAGGATCTGCCTGTTACGTCGGGGAGATCTCAAAGTCTCTCGCTAACTCCCGCACTCCCTCCAGATCCCTCCCCATCGCCCCCCCCCAAACCACTCCCCATCGCCCCCCAATAAACGGCTCCGGGCTCAACTGGGAAGCTTTACTGGGAGCACTGGGAGCAGGCACTGGGCGGGGGCAGAGCGCCAGCGGGGCTGGGGGGGACACGGGACCCCCCAAAATCAGCGGAGCGGGGACGGAGCGGGGGGTCCCGGCCGGGCCCGAGCCCACGGGGAGGGGCTGCGGCTGCCGCCGGCTCAGGAGCTCTGTGGGCAGAGAAAAGGGGGTGACACCGGGCTGGGGGCCCCGGCGGGAGCGCACACGCTCCGCCACGGGGGGGACGCCACCCCCGGCACCCGCCCTGACCTTCTTGCGCAGGGAGAAGCCGAGCCCCAGCGCCAGGAAGACCAAGCCCAAGACGAAGCCCCCGATGCCCGTCAGCATCTTGCTGCGGGCGGCGTCCGGCGGCATCTCTGGGGGGTCCGCAGGGCTCAGCACCCCCAAAACCTCTCACCGACACCCCGAGCCCCTCCCAGCGCCCTCCCTGTGGCACCCAGCCCAGCCAGGGCCCCCTGAAACCTCCCTCCGATCCATTTTTGTCCTGGCCAGGAGCCACCAAAGCCCCTCCCGTCCCTCTCAGCATCCCACAGCCCCCTCCCAGTTGCCCCCAGCGCCCCAGGACCCCCAAAGCCTCTCGCAGTCCCTTGGCAGCCCCAGCAGGACTCAGCCAGAGCCCTCCCAGGCTGTGCCCAGCACAACCGAGCTCATGGCGAGCCCCGCTTTGCCATCGCCGATCTCCTTCCAGCCCCTCGGGGCTCCCTGCGATCCCTCCCAGTCACACCCAGCACCCCCAAACTCCCTCCCAGTCAGACCCAGCGCCCCCAAACTCCCTCCCAGTGCCCACCAGGACCCCCCAAACCCATCCCACCCTTCCCAGCATCCCCCAAACCCCTGCCCAGCCCTTGCCCAGCCCCCAGCCCCTCTCCCACTTCCAGCCCGGCTCTCTCCTGCTCCCTCCCAGTGGCTCCCAGCACAGCCCAGTGGCTCTGCCAGCGCCCCCAGGGGCTCCCCCGTACCCCAGTGCCGCCTCAGGGGCTGCTCCAGGCTGACGTGCTCCACCTGGCAGCTGTAGCTGAGCCCGCGCCGGGGCGGCGTTTCCAGCAGCACCAGCAGCTGGTGGGTCCAGTCCCCGTTGGGGACCACGTCGGTGGCCACCACGTGCTCCGAGAGCTCCTGCTGGCCCTGGAACCACCTCACCTGGATGGCAGCAGGGTAGAAATCCATCACGGAGCAGAGCAGGCGGCCGGGGCCGGGCTGGGAGCTCGAGGGGGGCACCAGCGAGATGGACACGCTGGGGGGCGCTGGGAGAGAGAGCGGGGACACACTGGGATCAGCTGGGGGGCACTGGGAGAGAGGGGGGAGGGCTGGGTTGGGCTGGAGAGGGACTGGGAAGGGACTGGGCTGGGAGCTCGAGGGGGGCACCAGCGAGATGGACACGCTGGGGGGCACTGGGAGAGAGGGTGGAGGTCTGGGAGTGAAGTGGGAATGAACTGGGAAAAGAATGGAAATGGACTGGAAGGGACTGGGCAGGAATTGGACACGGGCTTGGAGGGACCCCGGTGGCGCTGGGATGAACTGGGAATGAAGTGCGCGGCACTGGGAAGCCGAGTCCAGCGCGGTGCACTCGGCACTGCAGGTCTGCCTGGCAACAGATGACTAATCAGAGCGACGCGTTCTGATTGGATGAGCAGCGTCACCTTTACGCGTCGCTGAAATGGACGCGCGGGGGTCACTGAGAGGGACTGGGATGGACTGGGGGAGCCATGGTGGTCAGTGGCAGGGACAGGAGGCCTCGGGGATGGGCACAAGGAAGGCTGAGGGCTCTGGGCTGATTCCCAGCGAGGTTTTGAGGGGCTCCAGGGATTTGGCCGGGCAGGGCCCGAGGGGACACGCTCTGCCCCGCGCTCACCTCGGCGCTCGGCGCTGAGCGGGCGAACCCCCTCGTAGTTGTACGGACAGACCATGTTCACCACAGACCGTGCGTACGCCAGTGTGGCCGGGTTGCTGTTCCAGTCACTGGCCCACCCCTCTCCATAGGGGGTGAACCCCACGTAGTGCCCCACGTCGCTGTCGAACATCACGAACTGCTCCCGATTGTAGATGTACCTCTGCACGAACCTCATCTTCTGCGTGCCATTAATGAAGTGACACTCTGACACTGCCCAGAACTGGAACACGCCTGTGAGAGCAGGACACAGCTCAGGGGGTGCCCACCCAGCACCTCCCAGCAGCACCCCCAGAGCTCCGGGAGCCACACCGGATCCCCACTCCGCCCCTCCTGTGCCCCACGGCCGCCATGGGACCCTCCTGCCCGCGCTGCCGCTTCCTCCTTGCCACCGTTCCCCCATTTCCCCTTCCACATCCTCTCCCCCCCCACCTCCGGCCGCCCCCCAAATCACTTTTGGGGTCCCCATTTCCCCATTTTCCCAAAAATCCCCCAATCCCCAGCATTCTCCCGCTCAATTTTGGGGTCTCCCCTCCACTTTTCCCCCTCCCACCCCACCGTCCCAGCGCCTCCCTCCAACCCGCTCACCCGAGAGCTCCGCGCCCGCAGCCGGGGGGGCTCCCAGCACCACCAGTGCCACCAGCAGGGCCCCAGCTGCCGCCCCTCGCCCCATGGCCGGGGCCGGGCAGGGAGCAGCAGCCCCAAAGCAGCCGCGCTGCGCTGGGAGCGCCAGTCCGGAGCAGGGCGGGCTCGGCAGCGCCGCGCGCTCTCATTGGCTGCCGCCGCTTCTGGGCAGCGATCGGCCACGGGCTCTGCCCGGCAACCGATGAGGCAATCCAACGCCCCGAGCTCTCATTGGCTAAGGCGCCGCCTGCCTGCGCTGCCATTGGCTGAGGCCTTTCCGGGACGCTGCAGCCCCCGGCTGGGGGTTTTTTGGGGAGGGGGAACCTTGGGGCGCTGGGCAGGTGGGAGCTCAGGTGAGCCCAGCAATGCGTGCCCAGGTGCGCGGCATCTCAGGGCTGCCCGTTGTGAGCGGTGACGCTGGCCCGATGTCAGGCACCCCCAGAGCCGCTCTGTCCCTGCCCCCCGCAGCCGCACAGGGACAGAAAATGGAACCGAGGGTTCCTGCGTGGGGACAAGGACCGGGAGAGATCCCTCAGCAAATCCCGCACGGGCACAACGGACCCGGCCGTGGTTGGGGTGACAGGAATGATATAAAATAGCATCTCACTCAACAAGGTATTCTCCCTTTTTCATTTTACAGTCTGTGTCAATGGCAGTTGAAACTATTAGACCTGCATTAAAATTACAAATTACTTTATATAAATGGAAGCCATAAATATCGCAAATAGTAAAAAACTAAAATTGCACTGAGGTTCAGAAGCTGGTACGTCTAAAACCTTCAAAATTAAGGACATTTAGTGGAAAGCCTCAATATCCATCTCCCCTTAATTTACCTCATTATTCTTGTTTGTCAGAGTATGATCTCACTACTATGTTAATATCATTTAACAAGTTTTTCTTGCAAGGTTGGCTCAGATCTGAATCAAACCACAGTAGAGGTGCAGTGGTATTTCCTTGAGTATGTTGGTTTAAATGAAGCAGTAAGAACAGGCTAACCTAGTGTTAAGGATGAAGTAATTGTCACTGTTGTCAGTAAATACTTTTGTTGCTGAGTATCTCCTTTCTAAAGCTTTTATATCAATATATAGTCTTGTGGTTTCTTATTCCTTTTTCTTTTCATTCAAAAACATTATAAATGTAAAGCTACTATTGATCTGTAGATGTGGCACAAATTGATTTGAATGAGGGACCAAGACACTAAAATTGAGCTCACTAAGAAATTGCTAGCAGGTAATGATGTGGATGCTGGCAATGCTGATGCTGCATTAGGTGTGTCCTCTCCTACCAAATCTTGTGGGCTTGGGCCAGGCTTGCAGTGCCTGTGTCTCTGAGCACCATGTATGGCTCAGCACTGGCATTTCCTGGGATGGAAATCTCCCTGGGCTACCTGGAGCCTGCCCTGAGTCCAGCACATCTGATTCTCACACCAATGCACAAAACTGAGGGTTCTGTGCAATTCTTAATTGGCTCTTTGGAGAAACAGAGGCGATTTGCTGAACTTGGAAGTCCCTGCTTGTCTCATGAAGGTGGAGAAATCTGGCTAAACATTTTTCATTAAAAGCAATTTTAAAGTGAATCAATGGAATAATATTCCTGTGGTGAGGACTTGGAAGAGAGAGAGTGAGTGTTCCTGAATCTTTCTGGTGAGTACATATGATTTCCTGTTCTGAGGGAAGGATCTGTTTCACCTAAATTTAGCTTGGGAATCTAGCTTTGCTCTGTAGTCAACAGTTCCCCATGAGAGCCATTCATTTGACCTAAACCAGGTCAAATTACCCTCTTTATTAACTGTAGAGAAAACCTCAGGCCAGAAGTCCAGCCTGGAATTGGGAAGCAGAGATGAAACTGGATCCCAGCCTTCCTCTTAGTAATACACACATAAGATGAGGTCTGTGGATACTGCAGGATCTTGTGAGTAGAAATATGTCAGTGGGGAAGGCATGCCCAAAGCCTGCTGTGCAGGTGCCTTGGCAGGCTGAAGGAATGGAATCCCTTCATACAACAGGTGTTTTTCAGTTAATATGATTAAACAGCATTATTTAACAGTCTATGGAAAATAGTCCATAACCTTCATTAAAAAAAAAAAAAGGGGGGGTAAGGGCTGTATCTGCATTGTTCTTGTGAAGGAATTTACATTTTCAAGCTCTTCTTCTCAAAGTGACACTGAGAGTTCAGGGACTATAGAGGCAAATGTAGAAACTGCTCTGTCGCACCATGAGGCTAGTTGAATGTTCCTTTCTGTTCTTGAAAAAGGAAGAATGATTTTTAATTTCTTGCTCTTCAGCATGAAGGAAACTCATAACTGTTCTCTGCTGGGGCTGAAAGCACATCACAGATGTGGTTCAAAATCAGTTTGTCATTCATTTCAAGCCTACTTTGGCACAGGATGGTATAGAAAGAAAAAAAATAAATCTGTTCTAAATTTGCATTTGATATTTTACTCTTTCCTTATCATCTGCATTTTTGCTGCTTTAATTGGTATTTCAACTGCAATGGCTTCTAAACATCCTAAGCAAATGCTGTCTTATAAGCCCAATTATTTCTTTCTAATTTTTTTTTTTTTTTACTGTGCAAAAGGTGGACTAAAAACTGGCTGAGTTGCTGTGATTTACAGGGAGGTGGTCTGTGGCACAAGGTCCAGCTGGAGCCAGCCACCAGCTGTACCCCAGGGGCTGACTGTGGGGCCAATGCAATTAAAGATCTTCATTAGTGACTCAGATGATGGGGAACAAAGCACCCAGGGGAGTGTTCAGAGAGCAGAGAGCTGGGAGGGCCCGTGTTTAAACACAGGAATTGAGTGACTGACTCTCTGGTTGGTCAAACAGCACAAGAGGCTGCCCACAGACATTGTAGGGTCTCCAGCTTTGGAGATATTCCAGCCTGTACTGGTCCTGGGTGACCCTGCTTTGAGCAGTCTGGCTTCATGTCTCAGTGTTTCTAAATATAAATGCATGATGATTTTTAAAATATGTACCAAACTGTTAATTTGTAGTTCCTCCATAAGTTTTTCACTTTAACTACAAATATTCAAATAGTTTAGGGAGAAAAAACCTCACCCCACAACTGAGTTTGTATGTGGAGAAATCAGGTTCTTGGACTCAATTTCAGTCCAGACCTTTATCCCAGCAGTTAATTGAGGTATTGCTTTTTATTACTGAAAGATTCCAAATTTGAAAAATGTTTAAAACAAATTTAGTGAGATTTCCTCAAGTAGTGAACCATCTTAATTTAATTCCACATCACAATGCTTTACTGTCTCGTGTAGGTCATTGTAGCATCTGGTTGCAATGTCTTCAAAAAAGAAGATATCTATCTTAAATTCATGTCAAGTTAGAATATACAGATACTAAAAAGAATTTGTAATTTTTAGTAGTCATTCCTCAATATTTTTTCACCACACATTGTTGAACAAATGTCATTTGGTTGAAGGATTTTATTACTTCAGTAAAAAAAAAAAAAGAATTGACATTCAATATGTGAACTGAGACACATAATTTAACAATAAAATATTGTCACACAGCAAACAGGTCATCAGAGGATGATCCTCCCCTGCAGCACCTGATCTGTTTAGTTTGGTAAACTGGAAATTTTAAAGGTACTATTTCTTGCCATTTTAACCTCTTAAGTGGCCTCTCTCAGTAGCTGCTGTCTGTGTAAACAAACAAACTCGAAGAAGTCCTCAACCTTTGTGGTAAACACTTACCTAAAGCAGTGGGGCCAGCATGGAGGGGAGACCTGTGGAGGTCCTCTGGAACCCTGACAGATGTTTGTTTTCTGGGCTGTGTTGAATTTCCCTGTGCACTTGCTGCAAGTTGTTCTGACTGCATAGTGGTCCTTCAATCAGCTGTCAGTAGCTTTGTGACAGGTTCACCACACACTGGTTTGCCACACAGCTGCTGGATTTTGACTTAAATTTGGTTATTGCTGCATATCATTTTCTAAACTTGTTCTTTGGCAGAGTCTTAAACCACAATACAGAAAGGATATTTCACGTTGGGTCTGAACCCAAGCTTCAGCTGTAGTTGCTTGACTAGCACTTTGTTAGCTGTCAGCAGCCTTTGAGAACCTGGTTTGTAAACTTTTAGGCTTTGAAATAGCTGAATGTTTGTTTCCACCCAAAAAAATTCCCTCCAATGTTTTTGGCACTTGGGTGCCCAGTGTTTGACTCTGGTGAAGGGAACCTTCCAGCATGTGAATGAGGGAGCTTGTACAAATGCCTAAAGGCTGGCATGTGACATGCCGTGTTCAAGACATTGGTTATTTTTGAGGAATAGAAATTGCTTTTTCTATTCTTTAAAGACATAAAAAACATGCTGGTATTGTCTGTCATGAAAACTGAGCTTAAATATTGCCATATTCAATTATTCCTTTTTTTTTTCTCTTCAGGATAGGGAATTATGTTGGAATTCTCTATTTATGAATAGAGGATTTTCTTTCAATGATAGTTGCTTTCAAAATCTGTTGTTTGCTAAATTATGGTTCAGAATTATGACCAAAAGAGAAATAATTTCAGGAGAGAGGCTGGAAAATGGCAAAGGATTTTAATTTGTTTTTTTTCCAGATAGTAGTAGAAAGATTTTTAAAAGGCAGAAGGATAGTATTATAGTTAGTAGTTTATAAAATCATTTGTTTTATAAGTTTGATCTAGTAACAGCAGCAAAACTTGAGTGTTTGATGTTACTGATCTTAAATATGTGTATAGGTACCTTGTGAATAGTTTGTGCAGCAAAAGATGTACAGTAGTCCTGAAGTTGATAGTTTTATTGTGGTTTTTGAAGTTCAGTGTTTTCATAGGGCATGTTTTTTTGGAAAGCATCTAAGGTGCACAAGCTTTTTAGGAGCTTAGGCTGGTGAAGAGAAATATCAGTAATGCAAGGTGCATGAAGGAATGGCTCTCAAACAGGGTAATTAATCCTCTTCATAAGATGATGCAGTGAAATCAGAGAAGGGTTTGTGTTTGATGTTGTTTTCATCTGCTGTGTTGTGTGCTGGAAGAAAAGTGCTTACCTTCCATGTGGCTTGGTTGTGGCAGAAATGACACTGGGAGACCAGTTCAGAATGCTGAGCACTTAATTTAAAGCAAGTCCTTGCTCTGTGTA